AAATTTTCTACAGCGTTTTTTTTTCGTGATGCAATTTGATGTGGGTCACCCGTTATGCTACCTGTATATTTTTTTCTCGATTCACCATTACCGACGAGGATTGTTTCGGATGATGGATGTCCAATGAAGCTAATTGAAGTATAAGTTTTTTTTTATGTTTTGACTACAGTTGGTATTTGTAGCCATGTTTACTCTATGTTATGTTCACGGATGTGCTTTGTTTTGAAATGTTTGTACTGTATTGTGCATATGCATTTCATTTTGGCATGACAATCGTTTTACAGAGAGCATTAAGTATTTCAACTGAGGTCCATCCGCTTCTCGTTTCATGTTCATCCTGTATTCGAGAGGACCATCATCTGGTTACATAACAACCGTCATTCGGTTGCAACTATCATTCGAAGAAGCGATTTCGATTTGAATGGTCTGAGGTTTCATTCGAACAGAGGATTATATTTTGGTACAGTGTACAAGACCCTGCTGCAGAATCGCATTTTGTTTTCTCCGCCTATCTTTTCCTCTGTGGATTTCTAGTAAGCATCAAAAGACAGCGTTGCCAGATGGGTTTTAAGCTTATCGGTATCAAAGGTTTGAAAAATCTGTATTTATCGGTATTTACTAGGGGAAATGACGGCTTCGGCATGACAGACTATTTTCGGCAACACAAATTGAAACACTATTTTCACTGGATTTTCTCACGAAAACACTTCGCTCAATGCATGCAAACGATTCTTTATGCTTTCAGCTTCAATTTGATTATATTTTTACCACTGAGAAAAAGCAATCTAGCAAGGTTTTCTTGAAATGAAACACACGCACTACAAATTGTAGCTGATTTCGAGTTGCCGATAATAGAACAGCAGATTTACATGCAGTTCAAATGGAACGGTTGCCGAAGAAAAACTGGTTGCCGACAATAAAGGGTGTCCACGATGAAATTGCCACACTATGAAATTGCTCTAACTTTTTAACCGTTGGGTAGAATTTAATGAAAATTTGGATGGATTTAGTTTATAGTGCATTATTTACATCCTGCAAGTTTTAAAGTCCTGTGATCAAAACTCGCGGAAATGGAGTCGAAAGAACAGCTCGTGCGTGATAAAATCTTGCGCATTCATCACGAGAACAAGGATCTCTCGCATCGTTCCATCGCTAAAACGTTGGGAATCGCGAATTCCACGGTGTCGTGAGTGATTAAGCGGTTCGAGGAACGGTTGACCACCGATCGGTTGACCACAGAAGTGAAGGAAAAAGTATTCCGTACAACACCAAAAATCACAACCGCGTAGTTGGGGCCTTCAACCGAAATCCGAACGCCTCAATTAGGGATGTGGCTAAGAAGCTGCACCTAAGCCGAAGTTTTGTCCAGAAGGCCAAAACTAAGGCTGGGCTTCGAACGTTCAAGGTACAAAAGGCCCCTAATCGCGACGAGAAGCAGAACAAGTCCGCCAAAACCCGTGCCAGGAAGTTGTACCTCAACATGCTGACGAAAGTTGAATGCTGCATCATGGACGACGAAACATATGTGAAGGCCGACTTCAAACAGATCCCCGGCAACCTGTTTTCACGGCCAAGGATAAGTTCAGCGTTCCGGAGCATGTCCGCACTCAGAAGATGTCCAAATTTGCGAAGAAATTCCTGGTTTGGCAAGCCATCTGCACGTGCGGGAAGCGGAGTGCACCTTTCGTGACCCAGGACACGATGAACGGACAGGTGTACATAAAAGAGTGCCTCCAGAAGCGGCTGCTTCCTCTCCTGAAGGCCCACAACGTCCCAACAATCTTCTGGCCGGATTTGGCCTCATGCCACTACTCCAAGGACGTGCTGAAGTGGTATGCGGACAATAAGGTCAATTTCGTGCCGAAAATGTTCAACCCTCCCAACACTCCGGAGCTCCGCCCCATCGAGAAGTACTGAGCGATTATGAAGCAGCACCTTCTTAAACGACCTAAGGTAGTGAAGACAGTCGAGGAACTGAAGAAAGTATGGGTTTACATGCAAAAAACGGTTGATTCACAGGTTGTGCAGAATCTTATGGCCGGGGTTAAGGCCAAGGTGCGGGCATTTGCGTATGGACTGTAAATAAAATACGAGTAAAATGGTAAAATGAAGTTTAATAGTTATTTCTCAATCCCTGAAAATTTGATGGCAATCGGATGAAAACTCGAATTTTGCGAATCAATTTTGTGTGTGGCAATTTCATCGTGGACACCCTTTACTCGCTCTCACTAGAGAAGATTGGAGCTTTGTAAAAGCGTTTCAAAACAGTTTTTGACAATTCTTTCGACTGAAATTGTTAGAGCAGCTGGCAGCAAAAGATTGTAAACAAACCAATACTGCATATGTGTGCGTTCCTTAGAGAAAAAGGCTATAGAAAGAAGGTCGCTGCTTAGGTTGCCGAGAATACGTACATTCCCCTATATAAATTAATTTTACATTTTTACCTTTTTCAAAGGCGAAAATTTAAACGTTTGGATTAACAAGTTAGGGGTGACTCTAAGATTTTCTAGGCTTAAAAATCCAGTCCAAAGCATACGCATCCCTCTTTATCGCTCACAAGTCTTTGCAAGATCTTGCAAAAGCTTATGGACGCTTGTGAAGGATGCATATTGTACGTAAAGGGATATTTCGTCCGGGAAGGCCTGGAAGCGGCGGCAATCGTAATCCGGACATGGCAGCGACGACAAAGAAGGTGGCGGTGAAATACAAGCGGAATCCTAACCTCTCCATCCGGAACGTCGCTGGCAAGCTCAATGTCTCCCATACTACTGTGCAGCGGGCCAAGAAACGAGCCGGGTTGTCGACGTTTAAGAAGGTGAAGATGGCGAACCGAGATTAAAAACAAAACACGTCGACAAAGCAGCGATCCCGAAAGCTGTATACGAATCTGCTCACTAAGTTCGACTGTGTCGAAACTTATGTGAAGGCGAATTTCAAGCAGCTTCCGGGACAGGAGCTTCATACCGCATCAGGAAAAGGGAAGGTGGCTGAAATTTTCAACACCATCAAACTATCGACGTTCCCGAAAAAATAGCTCGTCTGGCAGGCCATATGCACGTGTGGTCTAAAAAGCGGCATTTTCATTACTACGGGAACCATCAATCAAGAGATCTACGTCCAGGAATGCCTGGAAAAGCGGCTGCTACCATTCCTAAAGCAACATAATAGACCTGTGCTGTTCTGGCCGGACTTGGTGAGCTGCCACTATGGGAAAAAAGGCAATCGAGTGGTACGATGCGAACAACGTGGTTGGGGTACCCAAAGACCACAACCCTCCCAACAACCCAGAACTCCGCCCTATCGAACGGTATTGGGCCTTGGTCAAACGGAACCTTAAAAAACTAATAAATCCATGGAAAACGAGCAGCAGTTTAAATTTAACTGGCGTTCGGTGGCGAATAAGGTCGATGAGACCACTGTGAAACGAATAAACGAACATTTTTTCCCTTAAATATATGAATTGAACTACCATAAGAAAAATAAGAAGATTTTTGTGATATGAATTTTGACTGAAAGAAACGATTTTTTTGTCGACCAATTTTTGCGCGTTCCCAGCAGGCCTGGGTTCAATCCCAGGCGACGTTACCGGAATGTTCTGAGGCATAACATCTCTGATCACGGGGAAGACGTTGGTTGGTCTCCAGTTCATGAGTCAATGGGTCCATAGGTAGGGTTAAGGTGTGGAAGCTGCCTCCCTGGCGTCGGTAGCATTGGTGCTCAGCACGGAAAACAAGATCGACGGAATATAAATCAAGGAAAAACAATCTATTACCACTTTTGTAAAGACCGAGCATGTAGGTACATTGCATCCGATAAATAGACAACAGATTTGCAGTTTTTCTGCAATGTATCAACAAATAATGTTCCGGTTGGACAAATAATGTTCCGGTTGGCCTCGATCAACCAGAGTTGATTTCTTTAATGTGATTAAGATCACCCATAATCCCAAGTAACACAACTTTATGAAATTATGTTGAGTAAACTTCTTTACAACCAAATCCAGTTATATAAAGGTTATTTAAACTATTATAGAACTTGCGTCTTGCTTGAGAATTTATCACCTGCAGAAAATCAGCTCAATTGGTTGGGAGACAACCGTGTTATTCGGGAGTTTCCTGTATTTCCAACTCAAAAATGTTAACAACCAAATGGAAACCTTAGTCTCATGATTTTTAGTTTTCCAAATTAGGGGAATTAACGATCGTCAATCTAAGCAGCTTCGGTGCTTCTATTAGCATTTTCTCAGCGTCCGCACACATTTTACGTGTTTGTGTGTTTACATTTATTTGCTGCTTGCTCCTCTATCTTGAATTGTGGAAAACTGATTGAAACCGTGTGCACAACGCTCCACTCTTCTCAGTTGAGTGGGACTATTGTCGGAAACCTCTTTTTCTTCGGTATCCTTTCGATTTGAACTGCGTGTTATCGGCAAATCGAAATCAGCCGCATTTTGTAGTGCGTATGTTTCATTCTAAGAAAAAACCTGACAAAATGCGATTGCTCAGCCAAACACATCTAATCAGATTGAAGCTGAAAGACTAAGCAATCGTCTGAATACATTCAAGGATGTGTTTTGGTGAGATAATGTAGTGAAATCACCGTTTAAATTTTGGCTGCGTAATCAGTCAATGCGTGCCGACGCCGTAATTTACCCTATAAGATATATTAAATTTGTTTGTTGAAAAAAAGTTGTCAATCTCAATTCAATTTATGATTATTAAATCTAGTTGCGGTCTTGAATGTCGCTGAAGTTGTTGGAATAAACAGTTATTTTCTTTGGCTAATAAACTTATCTTATATATTCCCGGACTTTTAAAAAAATGTACATTATTAACACAGTTTTTGAATATATTTGATATCGAATTACTCCGACTTCCTTAATCATATTAATCATCACACCTGCTTACAAGCAAATCATCTCCATTACCTGTCCGTCATCAGTGCAATTATAAACGAATTTACTTTTCTCCCGTTTTTCCCACGAATTGAACCCACCACAGCGCCAGACAGTACAAACGGTCCATGTGAGTATCCTTTGTCGGAATGTAGCAACACACATGCCATTTACATGTTAAGATTTTGTGTGAATTTTAAAATTCCGTTCAAGCTCGTCTGTGCTTTGCGTGTCTCCACAAACTAGGAATCATGTTACGTCATGCACATTATTCGTTTTGCCATGCCACTCGCATCAATGTCGCACATTTGTATGTTCTGTTACTGTGGGTACGACCCGGGTCACCGTTCTGATGCATAATTCTTTATGTTTTAATTATTTTTATTTTTTCATCACGGTCCGTCATGCGTGTACGGACGAATGTTTTATTATGTTGACCTTCTGCTACGTGTTGTCCAGGCCGTTATTGCTTGACTTTTTTTTTTTTGTGTTGCTCCACCACCGCATGAACCAACTTTTTCTACACTGCCCTCAAAATTAGCATCCCTTGTACCGTCGTCGCGTAACAGCATCATGCACGAAAACGCCAAGCTTTAGCCGCAATTCTCTAGGAACGGCTTGGTGGGATGGAATACGAAACGGATGAAAACACGGACATATACGGACATTTTTAATAAAGTTGCTATTCATATGTATTTTTCCCACGTCATGTCACAATATTTATCTAACCTAGAAATATGCAAAAATTAAGCTTCGAAAACATTTATAGTGTGCGTTTGTATGTTTGTGTGTTGTTGCTAAAAAAAATGGCCCCGATATATGAATTATTTTGCATGTGCTTGATTATAGATTGTTTACCATTTATTCGTGCTTTGTCCTTTGTCCTTTTAAAAGCAGTGAAACGTTTTCATAGATACAAATTAAAATAAGCAAGCTTATAACGCCCGATACTTGACGTTTCAAATATAAACCATATGCCTCTATGATCCCTTCAGGCAGGAAATACTGTGAACCCTTAAGAAAACGCTCTTTTGTTTTGCGGTTATTGCTGTTTACCCAACAAGAAAATTAAGTTGTTTTGGCTTCCCCAACGATGATGGTTGGCCTCAACCAAGAACGATGAAATCGATACTCTCGCTCAATGGTTGGGTGGTTGGTTTCACCTCTGCACGCCCGGAAGTTGATGGGCACTTTCGTTCAGGTGCAACAACAAACAAAGTAACAGAACAAACCATCCTTGTCAGGGTGGTTCCTCCGATCTAGAGTTTGTTCTGGAAAGTCCATCCGTCAGACAAAGGAATTAGTTGTTAAATGGATTGAATTTTACACCATCATCACAGTGCAACAGCAGAACCACTCCGATGTTTACCGAGAGCTCCATCGATCTTGTGCAGGTGAAGCACAATCAACCAGGAGCGATTCCTCTCGTCAACAACAACAAGTAGGTACGAGGACGACGACGAACACGATGGTACCAATCAGTAAAGGAAACCCCTTCTTTCTATTGATATAGCACGAGGAAAAGGGTGTTTACTTATTCCCAACTTTTAGAGGTACAAACTCGTCAGCATTCTGGGTAGCAAGACTTTGTTGATCTGAGTGGTACAGAAATGTTTCACTATACTCTACCGAAACAACTATATACAACGAGTTGTGTACTGCTGCTAGCTGTAGTGCAATTAATTTTTACATGGCTTCAATTTTATGAAACAATTTCCTGGTGTGTTGTTACACTATGGTAAGCGCTAAGCAGAACACAGCTCTACACAATATCTGAGCTCATGAAGCAGTCAGAAAGAGTTGATTTTTGACTGCACACTACGAAATAGTCATGTGATTTTCAGTGCCCTGAGACCGACATATGCAAGCGGCCCATTTGACATAGAATCAGTTGAAATGGACGAGAAAATCAATTCAATCAAACGTACCTTTTTTCGAGTTGCATATGTTTCAGTTTCAGCACACTTAATTTTACATGACATGTTTGTTTACTTTTTATAGTTTGTGTCAAAGCTGAATTACGTCTCGTGTAAAAATAGTAATTTCTAAGTGTGGGGTGTGGTAAAACAATTTTATAAACAATGTCTTCCGACACCACTCAGTCCCATTAAGTTGGATACTTCTATTATTAAGTAAACTAATGCGTTTCTGCAAAGGTAAAGCACATAATTAGAAAACTAATGGAAAACTATTGAAATACAAACTATATGCATTTCTTGGGCACACAACTGACAATCTATACGTTGCGAGCAATGATATTCAGTGGATGATAGGTACATCGAGTTAAACTTCCATATCGTCGGTTTCTTGTAACACTATCGCAACTCAAAATTTAACCGTTTTATCGTTTAAATGCATAAACAAATCAAATAATATCACTGTATTACATCTATACCTTACACCTTCTAGCGGTGGAACATTGGAATTGAGGAATAAAATCTGCAGGAAAAATCAAAAACAAAGTGAAATTTTCTACTATTTGTTGCGTGAAACCGACTATATCTGCACGGCTTATCGATGACGAAATGTGTGCCCCTGAAAACATTGATGAGATTTAGCTGAACCTTTAAATTAAGTGAGTAACACATACATTTTGTCTATTAATCGAGTTAAACCGATTAAGTATGTGTCCCTCATTGATTGACACACTCGCGCTATTAAAAAACAATCCAAATTTGGGTAGAATCCACCCACATTCGTTGAAACTGAACGCACCCAAAAATAAGTAAACTGAGTTGACCAATTCCAGGCCAAATAGGATAAAAAAATAAAAATTTAAGTCTCGACCTTCTCCGATTTGCATGAAACTTTGCATAGCTATGTGTTATGGGCGGGAGCGGGAGATTTTGCTGAAGGACGTTTCGTCGAAGAACAAGCTATTTTCTACGGTAATGAACTTTTCTCAAAGCTCAGTAAATTTTGAAATCAGTCTCGAAAAAAGATTAAGAAGGTTCGATTTTTTCAACCTGCAAAGCTATTCAAATGTTCTGATTTCTTCTTTTGAACATGAGGAGTTCATTTAAGTTGTACTGATTTCAGAAATTTGCAAATAATAGATATTTTTGATTTATAGGAATGCTTCCTGTAGGGGCATGCAATAATCTTTAATTTTTTTTTATTTAGGAGTTTTTCAAGCTATAATCTTTAACTTCGTTGCAGGAAACGGCTGTTATTAAATTAGTTCCATTACATTAATTACACAGTGTAGAAAATTAACGGCTTTTTAAGTCCATTAATTACAGTTAGATAAGACCTAATCATTTTTCTTGTCAACATTTATGTTTGCAGCATATCTGAGATATGACACAAACATCAAAACGGCCAAGCCTACTGCGTTGCATTTGCCGCAATGATGATTCTGTGAAAGGATTCGAGTTCAAATAAACCGTGGAGGCACCACATTCGAAGCAGTTCCTAAATCGAAGCATTCCATAATGTTCGACTATTTTAAATAATTATTTTTGAAATGTTACTTCTGCAAATATTAGTTTCAGTGCTCTAGGGGGATGATGTTGTTACAAGGTTTTAAAAAATATCTTGTCAAAATAGACGAGTGCGTCATCATTAGGAACGCGTCAAATATAGTGCTGGCATGGTATATCTAAACAGCGATGCATTTCGTGAATCTTCAAGGGTGGAAGGATGCGTGGACATACCGTACCTAACGCTCCGAGCTAGGTTATGAGTGAATGTAACAATAATATGCAAAGTAATGAATGGTAAACCGGGCAATCGAATCCAGGTCCATCTATGGTAGTTGTTGACCGGATCAGCACCCAAGTATAAATATAACACAGGTCATCACTGGAATTTTGAATCGCGGAAAATGTGCTCCAATTACGAGACAAACTATCTCACATAAATTATTAATTTTAAATTTTTCCAAATTTTCAAACGCGACAAAGAAAACCACAGTTGATTTTTCGTAATTAAAGTACATTAATTACATTATCAATACTTTTTATTACATTAAGTAAGGATAGATAATTTTAATAACCGTCAGTACTACTTCAAAACGCATTAACTACTTTAAGTACTTTTGATTGCATTTTAACTTCGACACACCGGTTCTTTGTATTGCGTGCCCCTCGTGCATTCTTCTATTAAACATGAGCAGTTGTATTGATTTAGTTATTTTTGTAAACAATGAATATTTATAGGAATGCTTCCTTTGTTTACACATGAGCAGTTCTTTCGAGTTGTACTGATTTCAGAATTTTTTCAATAAACAATATTTTTAATTTATAGAAATACTTCTTTTAAGTAGTTCTTTTTTGTTGCTTTACATAGGAATATCTGTTATTTAAATGCGTTCCAAATGAATTGTAATTGTATATTGATTCATGATTTGATTGTATATTGATTCATGAAATTCGGCGAAATGATCCATTCGGCGAAATGTCCTTCGGTGAAATGTTCTTCAGCGAAACGTCCTTCGGCGGAATGGCACAGTTTCGTTATGGGCAATCATTTACATTTATGCAAAAATGTTGCCATTTTGGATGTTGTATCTTTTTTTTATAAAAGGCATCTTTGACATTTCTTAATAAATTATAGTACTAAAGCGTCACTTCTGATCAAAATGACGTCTGAGACCAAGTTGTTTAGAAAAGTAAAGATATTTTAGAAAAAATAAACACGCGTTAAAATGAATAAAAGTGTTAAAATCCCAAATATCTCAATGTGTATCTTCAGTATTTATAATTTATTTTCAAAATAAAGCTCTTGATAAATGCTAACTTAAGGAGTATTCAAAACCATGGGCACTTGAAAATTGATAAAAATCGTTAAACATCAACTTTTGGTCATATTTTTTAATTTCTTATTGACAAGCTTTTTTTATATAACTATTTAGAATGTCTTAAAAATTATTTCCTGTGTTTAAATTACATAAATTACATAGGAATTTTTGCCCAAATATTTTAAATTTTTGCATGTACGCAAAAAGTAAAAATATTTTACATAAAGTTCCTGTTCAACTATTATTTTTTTATTTTCAAGTTTCCATAATTTTAAATATTTCAAAAGTTTGCATTTTCTATTAGTTATTTTTTTTTAAATAAAAATGCTTTTCTCATTAAAATACTTCGATCGAGTTTTTCGGATTCGTCATTTGGCGTGGAACTGCTC